AGATCTGCCCTCAAAAGCATCTGATCAAACAGAGATTGGTTTGATCAAAAAATGTAAAAGCCACTAATGGCTTGTAAATAACAAACTGAAAACCGTAAGTAACAAAATCCTCTATTTCATACACTATAGAGACAATTGGGGAATGGAAATTTCTCCTTCATCTCGATGGTGTGCCTACCCGATCATCCACATCAGTCCCAGGCTCTCTGGAGGAATGGGAGAGACATTTAAAGGTGACTGCCAGTAATACCATAGGCATCCAGCCAGGGTGATCAGATCGGTAGGCTGCACCTTAAAAAATCAGGAATCAAACTGAATATGCTTAAAATAAGTTTATTAAGAAAAATGGCACATTTCCAACACCAGTAAACCATAAACAATGCAAATGATAACTAAACGTGACAGTGCAAACCCCAAATCAAACCTAACTAACTATATTTAAATGGAGGGAACACACATGAACAGGATAAGGTCAGGACAGGGACAGGAGACAAGGGGAGCAGGGAGCCAGGTACTCGGAGCAGGAAGCAGGATACAGGGAGCAGATCTCAGGGTTAGGTACAAGGATCAATCTCAGGCAGAGACACGGCTTACAAGGAATACTGAAGCACTGATCTTCAGTCAAGGACAGCAGCCCATGTCCCTGGTGACCACCGAAACTGTGCCCTTTTACTCTGGAAATAACAGTGCCACCAGCAGGTGACCCAGCTAATGACACAAGTCCTGACAGTGAAACATGGTGGGGTGATCCCCTTCTGCCCCCTGTGAAAGTCAGCAATGATCCTGGTAGAAGCACTATAACCCAAGGATGTACAGATACGTTCATTTACAGGGAGTGGTTAAAGTCCACATTCAATTTATATCCAATGTAAACTCTGTTAAAAAGACTTAAAAAAAATGATATTTTCAGTGTTCCACCACCAGCACACATTCAAGCTTCTTACCACATGCCCATGGGCCCTATGACCTGAGGTCACGAGCGCATTTGGATACAATGGAATATCACTGGGTAGAAAGTAAGTTGGCTCTGTAGTGATCCAGCAAAAGGCTGCAATTTACCTCAGCAATAGCTATATGCTGCACGGATCATGAAACGGAAATAAATGAAACCATATAACATCCAGTAAATTGCTATATTTAATCAACAGGGTGCTCACAAGCCAGAAACTGATACATAAAACTCCATTCTACTCCATCCTGAAGGTATGATGATGTCAGCAAGTTAAGATCCAACCTATGAATTTTGTCACAAGGGATATCATGGGCTGATATTTTCGAAATATACACGGTTTTCGAATGTAGTGAACTAAAGGCGCAGCACAAAACAAAATTTGCACCATTTAAGTGAAAATGTCAATTATGGCATTGTTTAATGTGGTTTTGTAACAATTGTATATTTAAAGAGGCAGCTCAACATAGTTTATAATAAAAATATACAGTAGAGTAGGCTAGAGTGTTAGATGAGTTTGCTCCGTGGTATTTGCTAATATTTGAATATTTTTTCTAGCAGTAGAAAAAACATTTTACATGGTGAATCATGATTGCTCAGTAATGACATCGCTTTTATGGATGCAGCATCTCATCCTCAGTGCATTTGATAACATTTAGAGATCTTTTCCAAGGCAGTCATATAAAAAGCACTGGCTTTTTTCAATGTACAATGCATTTCCTTGAGGCTATACAAAACCTGGGTCATTGGTAATTTGATGTACTGTAGTTATAAAACAAAAGGACAAAGTCTGTGTAATCATTTTAACAGTAATGCACAGAATTCAATATTCCTTACACACTGTTGTGATCAGTGTGCAGCTTAAAAGATGGGTAGGTCATGCTCTGTCATTTTGAGATTTTTCCTTGTTTTGGAAGCAGGTTTTTTTTTCTTTTTTTTTAATAAACCAAGTGCTAATCATTCCTGAATGCAGACCTGCAATATAATACTGGTTTTTTCCACATTATAAATACTTCATAATATATGAATCATTAAAGTAAAACTGGGCATAAACTCTTTTAAAATAATTGTTTACGGTTTTTAATCTGCCAAAGAGTTTGTAATTCTATACAGCAATACTTCTGATTACACACATTTTCTACAACACACAACCAGGCAGATAAACAAGTTCCAAAATAAAGTAAAGCTAAACCTGTTTTCCAAATTCTCCTACCTTCAACATGTTATGTTATGTTTTTGTATCAAAAGTTGCCATCTGTCTTTTTTAAGCTACATCATTCTTTAAAAAAAAAGAGAGACCACAATATCTGAGTTTTGTTGCATTGACACCTTGACACAAGCTCTTTTTGATAGCTATGCAGCCTATTTGTTGTGCTGCATCATCCAAAGTCAAGTAAAACGGAAACTCCATATTTCAGCCCCCAACGGTTCTCGAAATCCAGGCCTTTTGAAGTCATGTTGATTTGTGCCTTGGATGGATGGCAACATTACACTATGTTTATTGTCACAAAACTACATATTGATCATATATGGTGTTGCAAGCCTGATGGGTCAAAAGGCACAGTTTCACAAGAGCCATATGTTTGCCGAACAGGTGTTTGATAAAGCAGACATAATTTTTACTTTAGGTTCCATTCAAACGTTTTTTATTTTGTTTTGGATAGGACAGGGAAGAGTTGCAGCCTCTTGTGAAGACTGCACTACAAACTTCACACTTCCCAGCTCCCAGGACAATAGTCTAAATGCCAGCAGATTGAGTGATCATCAGTGGACAGGTTAACTCTCAAGCTGAAGTGATTATAAAGTTTTAAAATAATAAACTTGTTATGCTTACCTGCTCTGTGCAATAGTTTTGAACAGAAAAGCTCCCATCTTCTTCTTCTGGAGTCCCCCAACAGCACTTCTGGCTGCTCCTCCCAGCCGAGTGTCCACCATAGTAAGCCACACCTTATGGGGGCACTTGTGCATGCTTGTTTCTGAGCAAGGCCATTTGCTTCTATTCAGACACACAGCTTAACTCTGCTCCACCCCAGAGAAGGAGACATTGGCTCTCACTGCTCTCAACCAAGTTTGTGAAAGCAGGGAAAGGATAGAAGAGCTGCTGCAGACGTGCACAGCCCTGGATCGATGTCAGACTCAAGTAAATATTTAGGGCTGGGGCTTTCCAGTCAACAAACTGTAGCTACCACCATGCGTTTTAATGGAGACACAGACCATTTACAACATCTGGTGTTGCAATTCTTGTCTTGAAGAAATGTCTGTGCAGGCAAGAATGTACAGAGCAGTCAGAAATGTACAGACTTTGAAATATGTTAGCTTTTTTCAAAGTTTTAGACCACTCAAAGGTTCAGCTTAATGATTTATAAATATCACTTTAATAAAATAGAAGGAAAAATGGTGCAAGAAAATATTAACAGAATTTTATAAAACAGACAATTAGTAAGCATTATATAAAACAGGATACAAAGTGAACAATTAACAAAATTCTCCTTTGCTTTGGTTCTGTATATAGTAGTCCAATATATACACTGTATCAAAGTCATTGGCTCTCATAAAAGACAGCATTCCTTCATAGTTTCCAATAGTAAGCAAGAGATGCACTTGAGGCCAGTTTTTCAGGTCTCTGAGGAGGGAGTTAACAAAATTAACATAACCAATCAAAGGGACTGATGGGTGTGCTGTAGGTGCTGGAGAATTTTTTGATTCTCTGAGCAGACACACCTGAATAACTAAAAAAACCTCTAAAAACTGTACTTGGCGCAAATACGCAATAAACATAAATACATTTCTATAATTACAGCAGCACTCAAAACCACATCCAAATACAAATGTGAATAATGATACAGAAATATGTTGTGCTGTAATTTTAAGTTATAATTCAATATGAACATCCATAAACCATGTGTAAATCAACAATTTGTGCAAATCATGCAAAAAAAACCAAAATATAAATAAAAACATAATAAAGTCCATCAGTATTGCTGAAAACTGTTCTGTGACTTCCCAGTGAATTCCACCGCCATTCATAAATGGCCTTTTACCAAAAGACAAGACCCCAAATTATAGGAGGTTTTGTAATGTTCAGTGAAGCAAGAGAGCTATCAGCTGCAGTCCAGAATATGGGCAGGAGAATGGAAACCACAGGACTCTGCAGCTAGGAACATAGTCAGTACTGGAAAAAACTGGTAACCGTATTTTGAGAAATCTTCCAGGACACCAAGCTGAGAAGATGATTGGATCGTCTCTCTATAATCAATAAATAACAGTGCAGTAAATAAAGAAAAAACAATGTGCTATAATGAAAAAACACTACCTGAGCTTCTGCAATAACACTTATAAGTGATCCCACACTCAAAACCATATACATAAAACAACAGTGTTGTGCTAACTCATATATATAATTGTGACATGTAAATAAATGCAGTGCTTTCATTTACCTGGAGCAGAGATTTTCCTAATCCTAGTGCACACTGGCTTACAGTTCTGTGGTTTCCATTCTTCTGCAAGTATGCTAGATTGCGACTGATGGCTCTCTTGCTTCACTAAGCATTACAAGATCTCCTATAATTTGGGGCCTTGTCTTTTGGTAAGAGGTGGGTGTTTTTGAATGGTGGTGGAACTTACTGGAATGTCAGACACTCCCTAATGCCAATTTTTATAACTAGATCTATAATTCTGAATGAGAAAGTTTCATAAAACAACAACTAACATATTATTAACCACTTGCCTACCGGGCACTTATACCCCCTTCTTTTTGCCAGGCCAATTTTCAGCTTTCAGTGCTGTCGCACTTTGATTGACAATTGCGCGGTCATGCAAGATTGTACCCATATGAAATTTTTATCATTTTTTTCTCACAAAGCGCTGCTGGGCGCTTTGCTTTTTGCGCGATAAACAAAAAAAAAAAAAAAAAATTTGAAAAAAAAAAAAGTTTCTTTGTTTCTATTATAAAATTTTTCAAACAGGTAATTTTTCTCCTTCACTGATGTGCGTTGATGAGGCAGCACTGATGGGCACTGATAGGCGGGCACTGATGGGAACTGACAGGCAGCACGGAAGGGCACTGATAGGCAGCACTGATAGGCAGCACTAATGAGGTGTCACGGATAGGCGGCACTGATAGGCAGCACTAATGAGGTGTCACGGATAGGCAACACTGATGATGGGTACTGATAGACAGCACTGATAGGTGGCACTGACTGGCATCACTGCTGGGCACTGAGTGGCACAACCGTTGGGCACTGACTGGTGCCACTGACTGGCAGCACTGCTGGGCTGCGCTGATGGGCACAGGTGGGTGGCACTGGTGGGCACAGGTGGGTGGGCACAGGTGGGTGGCACTGCTGGGCACAGGTAGGTGGCACTTCTGGGCACACTTGTGTGACACTGCTGGGTGGCACAGGTGGGTGCACTGCTGGGCACAGGTGGGCGGAGCTAGTGGGAGCAATGCTGGGCACAGGTGGGTGCACTGCTGGCACAGGTGGGAGGAGTTAGTGGGCGCACTGCTGGGCACAGGTGGGCGGAACTTGTGGGTGGCACTGCTGGGCACCGATCATCAGGGCACTGATCATCAGTGCCCTGATGATCGGTGCTGATCCCTGCTCTAACAACTGCCGGTTCTCGGCAGTACTTTCCTCATGATTTGACAGCGTGAGGAAAGTGCAGCCGAGAACCGGCAGTTGCATTTCCTGGTAATCAGCATGTCATTGGACACGGCTGATCACGTGGTAAAAGGCCGCTGTGATTGGCCTTTTACCACATCACGTGATCAGCTGTGTCCGTAGGACACAGCGATCACGGAGATCTCCGGGGTGCGCGCCCCCCAGGGGCACGCAGGAGAGTGCATTCTGGGAGGATGTTATATGACGCCCACCCAGAACTGGCTGGCCGCAGTGTAGCCGTCATTCGGCTATCTGCGGTCGGCAAGTAGTTAAGTATAATGCAGTAGTGATTCATTATAGACCAAATAAGATAAATGAGATGCATAAAATGCATAGGATATCAAAGGTGTTTCATTAGCTATCTGTAGGTAACATATAGGACAGCTTGGTTTTTAAGTGATTATTTTCCTATACATTATCATTGCCACTTTTTTATGTTGATAACTCTACAGCAGGAGTTGTAGAATATGAATAGAGTTGAGAGCTTAAGGTTTACTAAAGTTTAGTCAAACTCCTATGTGTATAAGTAAATAGACCGCATTATGACAGGCACAATAGCAATGTATTAGGAGGATTTGCAGAATCTAAGTACTTTTTATGAAATTTCTGAAAGTTTTATTACCCACCTGCATGCAATCCAAATGATCTGTTTTATGTACATGTGTTTTTAACTGGAATTTTATTTTCTCAAGGTGCAATTCTTTGTTATAGAATAAATTTAAATCTTCCTGTTACCGACTTGTGTGTTTTGGGGAAAGTGAGTGTGGGCACTGTGTGCAATGTGACTTCCCCATTCTCTATACTTAGTTTTGGGTCTTAGATCTTATTATCGTCACATCTCTGTCAGACAGTAAGTGTTGGAAAATGTCTCCAACTGGGACACAGAGAAAAACAAAAATACATTTCTTAGTGGGTAAAGGTTTGAACTTCTTTTTAAAGTGTTACTAAACCCACAACAGTAAAATCAGTCTGTATATGCAGTAAAGCATGCTTGTTTTGCTCACTGTGGAACCTAAGGGGTTAATCCTCAGCATTGTGTAAAAAAGGTCGTTTGATCCTGTTTTCTCTGCCCCTCCTCTTGTTCAAATGTCCACATCTTTTCTCCTGATGAGACAAACTGAACCCATAGCCATATGCACATGCTCAGTTCAGTGTGTATTGCTAGAGAGGTATTTTGCTAGGGAGAGTGCATGTGATCAGCACACGGCCAATCAGCACTGTCCAGAGAGAGGGTCAGGGGTTTTGCATCCTCTTAGTGCAGAAAGAAAACTCCTCCAACAAGCTTTAACTAGTGCTCTGCTGAAGTCACAAGACTGCTCTAACTGCTGATGAAAAAAGATATTTAGCAGTTTATATTTACTAAAATAATTGCACTTCCATGTTCTGTGTACTATGGGAGACCAGATATAGTGAATGCAGGGTCCTGGGTTTAGTAACACTTTAATCTTTGTATTGCTACCTATTCTAGTGCCTGTGACAACCGCATCATGCATATCTTGTACAGGTGTCACTGGGTGAAGTAAAGTAAAATATCTCTAATAGACATTCTGACAGAAAAAGAAGCCTGGCAGCAATGGATACCTCTTGGGGAAAAAAATACATTTATATCCTTCTGCATACAAAAACAGAAGCACTCCTAATGTACAATCTTGTGTTTTTTAATTTTTCTATGTAGGAAATGGAACATTGATCGGGGCATCAGCAAACGTTGTATGTGCTGGAATAGCAGAACAACATGGCTATGGGTTTTCCTTCATGGAATTTTTCAGGTAGCGTTTAAATTTGTAGTAATAAAATAAACTACTATGCTTGTCTACTAATAAATGAAAGAGTGTATAAAAATAAAACAATATGCTATAATAACAACAGTTCTGTTCAAAGAAAAAACGTAATATTGTAAAAATATCTATGAACAGTCCCCAAGTGCTCTCTGTATACCCTCCGTAATGTGAAACTTAATTTATACCATTTCATTCCCTGACCCTTTCTATCTAAAAAGGTGATTTTATTATTCCTCATCAGTGGGTCTATTGCATTCTTTGCCAAGCTGCTCTGTACTATACAGTAGGAGCCTTCCTGTATTTGAATTGGAGTTTCTGGACCTAAGATCTTATCCCCTAGTAAAATAGGCCAATGCTTATGAATAATAATTTCCATCACTTTATATTTGGTATTGTACCTAATTCTAAATCTAAAATCACCCAATTCCTTCTCTTTTTTTACCCAGTTAGTAATTAAGTTATCCCTCTCTATCACCTCTAACTGTTCTTTTTTATAACTCTTTTCTAAGAATATGTCTATAAGAATTTCAGCCTGTTCAGAGACATCATTGTGTGTTGTTTAATTTCTTCCTAAATCATAAAAAAATTACCTCTCTGTTTTTTTATTATGACAACTCGAAATTGGGATATGTCCAGTTTGTTCTGTTTCCTTAAAGAGGTTTTGGTAACAAATTGATTTCCTTGAGCTATATTATTCAAGTCCAGAAATTAAATTTCCTTCTTATTACGCTATGTCAGATGTGTTCCAATTTCAGTATTCTCTTAAAAAAACATTTTAAAGGACTCCTCCTCTCCCTTCCATATAATGAAGACATTGTTGATGATTCTTTTCCAAAAATACAGCTGAGGCAAAGCCCTATAATAAATTAATTCCTTCTCCCATTTGTCTACATACAAATTTGCTAACCTAAGTGAAAATTTAGCACCCATTGCTGCCCCACTTTTTTTATGTATTGAAGACTGTTTATTTTATATATGTTCATAGTGTCAAGAGTGTTTAATTTATGTGGTGATCTAACCCTCTGCATGGAGTTTATATTAACAGGGTTAAATGAAATGGTATAAATTAAGTTTCACATTATTATAGACATACACAGAGTGTTCAGGGGTTGTTTGTTTGTATAGTATTTGATTTGTTTAATTTTAGTCATGTGGGTCCTCTATGAAGATAAAATGTGAATACTTATGATAAACCATCATTCGCCCTGTTCAGCACATGACAACAAAAGCAGGTGCCAGGTACATATAATATGACAGAAAGACATTGCAAACACCCAAAATCTTACAAAAATAAAAGTTAGTAAAACCATAATACACTGACTTTTGTAACACTACACCTAAATGAGGGTAAGGCATCTGTGGGTGCTCACTTTGCTTTGTTAGACATTTTTTCTACAACCTTATAAAACAGAGAGCATTGTAAATGCACTGTAAGTGTGCACATTTACTTGACTATAGTACCATGTTTTTTTTTTAATTGATAGCTCCTACTTGCTGAATAAGTATGCCAGTCTCTAGATAAAAACGTGTATATTTTTGCAGGAAAAAATAGGCAGTTTTTCACAGGAGGCTGCAAAGTATTGCACCTGCTATCAGTGCTCCTGTAGACTCTTCCTCCACCGTCCTGCCCATACCAATACACAGATTTTCAGTTATTGAGCTAGAGCAAGTGTTAATGGACTATGAGTGCAGTGATAACTACACTTATATTCCTTTGAGAACTACAAGTCTACAGTATCTGTTGTGGTGGCAGATAGGATTTGTAGGTCTTAATGCAGTACAAATGCATCTTCAGGTAAGTAGAACCATTCCATGCTGCTACGGGGGAGGGGGGGGGGGGGGGTGTTGGGCATGCTGGAGGTGGAGAGGTCTACTTGGAACCATATTACACCCTAAATACAGGGGTAACATGGTGTAAAAGATGGAATTAGCCTGGATAATGAGTGAAGCTTTATCCCAGGAAATGGGCAAAACACAAACTCTTTTTTGCCACTGAAGACCACTCTGCTTAGTGTGAGAGTGTGTAGTGTTGAGCACAAGTGCCTGGGTTAGATTCTTGGACCGCTTGAAGCCTTATTCCTAACCCTGTTCAAGTCAATTGGAGATGAATCTGGAAAACCTATTCTGACCATTTTCAAGTCTGATAGGCAAGGTGTTGTCAAATAAAGGGCATGGAAAGCTGGGCACTGCCTAGGGTGACATACAGAAATGCAAAAAAAAAATAAAATTGTTGCTTAAGCCCTAAGCCTCAAACTAATTGACCACTGGCAAAACAGTTTGATAGTATAGTTTTTAGTGAACTTATTTTTATTTTCTTAATTTGAGGAAAGTAAGTGTAGTACTGTAAAAAAAAGTGCACCAAACACTAAAAATCAACAATCCCACATTGTCCAGTTCCTCTGTCACATACCTTGCTTGTGAGCCTGACAGCAAAGGAAGGCCTCTCGTACAGCTCCAGCTCAAGGGCCACTGAAGGTGGAACAGCAACCACAAGAGCATGGCGGGGTATGAGTGCCTGGTCAGTCCTGTAGTCTGTGCAGGAATTGTTGGCACTTCGCTGGCAGATGGGATGTGTCAGGCTCCGCCCAACGGGATCTCTAGTGGTCCACGGCACGGGGTTTTCCCAGGACGCGGAGTCTAAGTCCCAGTCTGCCTTTTCACCAGGGCCCCTGATGGTGGGGATGGACTTGGTGCAAGACTGAAACCAGGTCGCGTCCCTGGGCACCCCCGGCGGTGGCAGAGGGGTCCCGCTGAGGGTATGTGCCCGGGTTGAGCCTGCTGTGAAGGGGACGACAGATCCCGATCCGAGCGGGATGGATGGGATGACAGATCCCGATCCGAGCTGGATGGATGGGATGACAGATCCTGATCCGAGCGGGATGGATGGGCAACTATCAGGAGTAGGCGAGGTCAGACTAGCCGGGTCGGTATTGTGCGGGCAGCGTGGTACAGGGGGAGTAAGCGGAGAATGGTCAGGGTCACAAGCCAGGTTCAGCAGGTAGCGGGCAGCGCGGTACAGAGGGTCAGGCAGAAGGATGGTCAGGGACGAGCCGGGGTCAGAGCAGGAGAAGGTCAGCATAAACAGAACAGGCAGAGTTTGGCAACAAGGAAGCATACTTACAGGACAGGAACAAGACCTTGCGGCAACTTGGAGATGCACAGGGCAGCTTTAAATAGAGAGCCCTGCTCTCCCATTGGTGCGGACGCGATCGCTACTGCACATGCGCGGCCGACCGCGATCGCCGAGGGCTCTGCGCTCGCCGGCTGGGACGGATCGGCGGTCTGCGC